GCAACACTGCTAGACGAGAACGCTGCACCACACTGTGTGAGTGTGTGTGTGTGTTTGTGTATGTGTGTGTGTGTGTGTGTGTGTGTGTGTGTGTGTGTGTGTGTGTGTGTGTGTGTGTGTGTGTGTGTGTGTGTGTGTGTGTGTGTGTGTATGTGTGTATGTGTATATGTGTGTGTGTGTGTGTGTGTGTGTGTGTGTGTGTGTGTGTGTGTGTGTGTGTGTGTGTGTGTGTGTGTGTGTGTGTGTGTGTGTGTGTGTGTGTAAATTAGTCATCTTTTGTCAATGAGTGCACCCGACCGTACGTACGTATGGATAGATATATGACTGTATGTTTGTATGTATGAATACATGCATGTAAGTATTTACATATGTATACATGCACGGGTATAAAAAAAATCCTGTGCCCTTGGGAACATCTCCGTCGCCCAGATAAAGAACTCTTTGGCAGCTTCCCATGGCCCTCGATATCTCGCGCCGAACTCCCGAGAACCGGTTCGCTTGAGGAGCACTCGCAGGGGACGGCGATGGCCTAGTCATTTCGCTCGCCCACGTCTAGCTCATCGGCTCTAAAGTCGGCGAAGGGAAACGGAATGAACGAAAGATAAAGCGAATGACACATATACGATCTTTTTTAAGTAGCGTACAGGCCTATCTTTCTCTTTCTTTCTCTTTCTCTCTCTCTCTCTCTCTCTCTCTCTCTCTCTCTCTCTCTCTCTCTCTCTCTCTCTCTCTCTCTCTCTCTCTCTCTCTCTCTCTCTCAAACTCGACTCATCTACCTATCTATCTTTACATAAAATCATAACTATTATATATTTCCTTTCTTTATTTAATTACTTATTATCTGCTCTCTTTAGCTATACTTACACAATCCTGAATACTTATATCAACTACAAACACTGATAGTCACGGCAGAGCAACAAACTGATAGCAGCTTATTGTCACATTTTATCTTAAACGAACCCCCGTGACCCCGGACTCATAGATAAATTAAATATATATACATATTCATACATTTATATACATATATATGCACATATAGATATACATATACATATATACGCATATACATATATATACACATATACATAAAACTTGAATACATACAGATAAATAAATATAAACATTTATATATATGCACATGTATATACTGTGTGCATATATATACATGTTATATACATGTATGTGTATGCGTGTGTGTGTGTATACATACATACATACATATGTATATATATACATATATATATACACATATGCATATATACATACATACAATATTACACACACACACACACACACACACACACACACACACACACACACACACACACACACACACACACACACACACACACACACACACACACACACACACACATCCTATTGGCATACAAACAGTGATAGGCCTACATATGTACCGGTTATGCTCTACAAATAAACCACTCAGATGGATATATACTACGTGCTCCTACCTCTGAACGGGACATCTTTAGCACGTGAGAAAGGGAGAAAGAGAAAGAGAGAGAAAGAGAGAGAAATAGAGAGAAAGAGAGAGAGAGAGAGAGAGAGAGAGAGAGAGAGAGAGAGAGAGAGAGAGAGAGAGAGAGAGAGAGAGAGAGAGAGAGAGAGAGAGAGAGAGAGAGAGAGAGAGACAGAGACAAAGACAGACAGACAGACAGACAGAGAGAGAGAGAGAGAGAGAAAGAGGGAGAGAGAGAGAAAGAAAGAGGGAGAGAGAGAAAGAAAGAGGGAGATAGAGAAAGAAAGAGAGAGAAAAAGAAAGAGAGAGAGAGAAAAAAGAAAGCGAAAGAGAAAAAAAGAAAGAGAGAGAGAGAGAGAGAGAGAGAGAGAGAGAGAGAGAGAGAGAGAGAGAGAGAGAGAGAGAGAGAGAGAGAGAGAGAGAGAGAGACAGAGAGAGAGAGAGAGAGAGACAGAGAGAGAGAGAGAGAGAGAGAGAGAGAGAGAGAGAGAGAGAGAGAGAGAGAGAGAGAGAGAGAGAGAGAGAGAGAGAGAGAGAGGAAGAGAGAGAGAGAGAGAGAGAGAGAGAGAGAGAGAGAGAGAGAGAGAGAGAGAGAGAGAAGGAGAGAGAGAGAGAGAGAGAGACAGAGAGAGAAGGAGAGAGAGAAGGAGAGAGAGAAAGAAAGAGAGAGCGAAAGAAAGAAAAGGAGAGAGAAAGAGAGAGAGAAAAAAAGAAAGAGAGAGAGAAAGAAAGAGAGCGAGAGAGGCATGGTTGATAAGCCTTTCATGGAGACTGATAAGAGATGGTTGTAAGTCGACAGATGCGAGGAGGTGTAGAAAAGGTGAATAGAAGTCGGCTAAAACCACTCCCCCATTAATGCCCTTCCCATCCCCCCCCCCCCCCCTTTTCATCTCCGTCCCATCTTCGCTCCCCCTCCCCCCTCCCCTCCTCTCGTGGCCCTCCATTTCACTCTGTGGATACGTTCCCTCCTTGTGCCTCTATTTTTGCCCTACCCATCCCTTTCACCCATGCCTCTCTTGTGCC